AATGGTCAGTTTTAGCAGAAATCAAACATGCACACAAAGAAACACCACAAATCAGTCCACAACAGACACCCAGCATGGAAACTGAAACCCCAGCATTTGAGAGTCTGGCAAGGTCATCAGCAACCGAGAACATGGCCTTGGACAGGGCTGGAGCTGTAAATTTTAAAAAGTTCATAACTCACTGCACTAAGGCAGATGAAAAGACAAACCTATTTAAAAAATACACATGCTGAAGAGGGCAAAATGTCTTTTACCTGTGTTTTGCTTCATCTTTGCTGCTCAGCTTACACAGGAAAACTTTCAGCTAAGTTTATAGAAGTCAATATCCACCTTGTTAATGACCTTGTTATCTGTCTGCACAGCATTTTCTTTGTGGACACATAGGTAGAGAATGTTTACAATTTCTTTTTTTTTTAACACTACAGGAGCTGGGATGTGCCTGCAGTTCCTCTAAGGTCAGCACTCACTCTATTGATTAGGAACCATCTACATGAAGGGAGAAAAGTAGGCACCATGATTGGAGATGCTGGACTTGGTTCAGCCCAGACACGTGAAAATCCTATTTATGGCACAGGAGAACAGCACTCTGCAGTGCCTGGGACACCCCTGGCCTCTGTTTGGTGCAGAAAATGGGTATTTCATACATGAGGTGCTCCTGGTGGGACACAATTCGTGAGAGCCTTTCAATGCACAAAGCACGGTCACAGTTTAAACTCAGTGGTGTTCTGGTTCTCTACTGGGGTCTTGGTTGACAGGCTGATGTCCCTGTGGTGGTGGCAGTTCCTTCCCACCCCTAAATCCCTTTTTCTTTCATGGTAACCCTCCCTGCTCACAGGGGAAGGTGAGGGAGAGATGATGGCCCTGCTCTCCATGAGCATCCATCGTGCTTGAGCTCACGGTGCCACGAGAGGATGGGGACAGCTTTCCACAGAGGCTGCACCAACCCCACACCAAACCATCCTCTCCAGGAGAGGGACATGGCCCCCATGAGTTCCACTTCTTCCAGAGAGGAAAGCTACAGCTCTGCCCAGCCCAGGCTGCCTGGAAAAACCTCCACTGTGAAGATGTCACAGACACGTTTTATGAAAAATCCTTTCCTTGGGATTTTTTTTCTCCTGAGAAGCTGAAAGGCCTCAGGAACAAAATGTAAACAATGGTTATCTGCTGCTGTGGAATGCAACAGGTGCATCTGTGATTGGTCTCATGTGGTTGTTTCTAATTAATGGCCAATCACAGTCCAGCTGTCCAGATTGTCTCAGTCAGTCACAAGCCTTTGTTATCATTCTTTTTCTATTCTTAGCTGGCCTTCTGATGAAATCCTTTCTTCTGTTATTTTAGTATAGTTCTAATGTAATATATATCATAAAATAATAAATCAAGCCGCCTGAACCATGGAGTCAGATCCTCATCTTTTCCCTCATCCTGAGTCCCCTACAAACACCATCACATGGAGAACCAAGGTTTGTGCAGAGCTGGCAGCGAGTTCCTCAGCAGTGCTGGATTTCAGCCTTCAGAACCAGGATTTGTCCCTGCTTGTGGTGCCAAGGACAGCAAGAGAAGGAGAGGGAGAGAATAAAAATCCTGCAGAGCAGGAGAGAGGCTGGTGGAGAGAAGGTGGAGAAACAAGCTGGGGATGGAGGGAGCAGGACAGCCCATCAGAAGTGAGCAAGGAGGGGAAAGTGATGGAGCTGAGGCAGCACGAGGGATTCATGCAGAGAGAATGGGAATGACTAGGAAAGAGAAATAGGGGCAGGAAAGGCAGAGAACATTCCCTTAAGTACTGCTGGAGCAAGGATGGGGATGTCTGGGATGGTTGTAGGGAGGAAGGGATGAGAGGAGGGGATGCCAAGAGAAGCCTACAGCTGAAACAACCAGACCCAGCTAAGGACGGGGTGGTAAGACAAGACAGCATGATCCCATCTGCTGCCCACCCCAGCCCCTTGCACTGAGATGGCACAAAGTGACCTGTCCTGGCATGTGCTGCTCACTGCCAGCTCCCTCAGTGCCTGCTCTGGCAGCATCCCCTCCACCCTGCAGAGCCCAGAGCCATTACCCTGTCACTCTTATCCCAGCCCTGCCCAGCACAGCTCCCTGGGGTGAGGGAGCCTCACACACAGCACCCTGCCACAGGGACAGGCTCCCAGGGCATGCCCCTGCACCCCTGGGCGAGCAGGTGGAAGAGGAGGAGGAGGAGAGATGCAGGGAGCACAAGCCCAGCGAATGCTGCTGGGGTGTCTGTGCTGTGGCTGGGGCTTTGTTTGTTTGCTGGTTTTCTCAGCAGAAAGCACAATGCAGGCTGGGCTCCAGCTGCAGCTGATGGGGCCGGGGGAGCAGGGGAGGGAGGGAAGGAGGGAGGAAAGGAACAGACTGCAGCTCTTCAGGACAAGGAGGTGCCCCAAGCAGTGTTGGCAGGACTGGGGGGACAGGGGAGGAAGAAGATGAGGAGGAGGAAGAAAGGGGGGAGTTTGCAACCAGGCACAGAGAGGCAGGGTGGCATTGTCACCTGGGCACAGGGTGATGCAGGAGCCATGGAAATCCTTCAGATCCTGCTGGGCTCCTCACTGTTATCCCCTCCTTGCTGGCTAATGTACCTATTGAATCCCTAAAAGAATGTTTTCTGGCAGATTGCTGCTGGGAAGCACATCTCTCTTGCCTGAAGGAAAGCAGCTGTCCCAGTGCTGTCCCTGTGCCTGTAGTGCCTCATCCCAGCACTGCCCTGGGCACACTGACAGCAGCAGGACAACCTCTGCACAAGAACTGCCCAGTGGGAAGAGCAGGCATGAGGTGGGGAGAAAATGCAGGAAGGGAACAGTGGGAGCAAGAGAGTTTGAGGAAAAGACCCAGAAAGAGAGACAAACTGAGGTGTGGAAGTCAGGCATGGCTTCATGCAAGGACCAAGAGGGCTGATAGATTCTCGAGAGTTCTGCTGTTAATTGCAGCTCTGAGATATGTGAGAAGTCTCTGTTTCGGCCTGCGCGTTCGAAGAATGATTCAGAGTTCTTCAGTTTTCAGTCTCAAAGTTGTTTATTATATCTTATCTATAAAATTTTTCTCCTGTCCAGCTGAGGTCTGCTCAGCAGGACAGCTAGTGGCACTCTGACTGCCCCTGGGGTGGTGTTATCTCTTTATACTACAAACTACCTATAACATGTTTACAATTACTTTCCAATACATATCACCTATGTTAGACAGTGCACTTTTATTCTAAACCAATCTCAAAGTGCCAGCATCACAGCAGAAGATGGAGGTAGAGAAGAAGAAGGACTGGACACGCCCAAGTCTCTCTATCTTGTCTCCAAAACTCCTGTTCCAAAAAACTCTAAAATCTACTTTCACCAAGTGGTAATTTCATTATTACACTACTTAAACTTCTGTGACTTTCAAGTCCTCATACAAAGCTGGTAATTTGCTCCACGGGTCATCATCAAACCTACAGGTGCTCTGTGCCAGGGTCTCCGAGCCCCCTGGCAGGGGCCTTGGCAACTCTGGGCACCCGGAGGGATGCACTGAGCTCTGACAACAGATGGGAAAGCAGAAACCAGATCAAGAAGTTGGCAAGGAGTTACTCCCCAGAGACAGCACCCAGAAACTTGGGTACCAGGAGAAGCATCAGGACTCCTCCCCATGAATGTGGGAAGGGAATGAAGCGTAGTTTCTGGTGCTCACACCTCCAGTGCCAGGGTTGTTTCCTGACCTGCAGCCTCTGCAGCCCACCCACAGCTGCTGCATGCTGGCTTACTTGACACATCTAAATCAAGTGCAGGCTCAGTGCTAATAAGTGACTTTAAGCAGGTCTGTCACTTGTGGGCTTGAGATTGGGGTCAGAAGGCTGTGCACAGGTGTGGGAGTGGCAGTGAACAGAGAAAGTCGGAACCCAATCTCCATAGGATTAACACTAAAGCTCTTGCAGGAGCCCAGCCCCAGGGACCGGAGATCTCCAGCCTGGCTGGTCCCTTCTGGAGTAGCAGGGACATCCTGTGGCTGTGGGACTGGCCCAAGGGGATGGTTCTTCCCTCCCTCTGTACTTTGCAAAGCCAGGCTGGAGCCCTGAACGCCTTTGGCCACCCGTCAGGTGTGTCTTAGCCCTTGGAGCCAGGAGTGAGGGACTGAGCTGGAGCTTGGCTCCTGAGAGCTCTCCACAAGACACATCCTGCACACCAGCATGGACACTGGGAATGACTGAGACCTTGGCATTGCCTTGAACCCACTGAAGGCAGGGAAATGCAGGTCTGAGAGGGCAGCAGGACCTGCCAGCTCCATCACCAACACCATCCCATGTAGGAGCGACAGGGGGTAGGGCAGTCAGGACGGAGGGAGACGAGAGATCTCTGGAGCCAGGTCTGGAACTTGGGGTTTATTGCAAAGGGCCTGGGTGCAGGGCCCTGCTGGGAGCTGCCAAACACAGCTCAGAGCAGGCCCGAGAGATGAGAGGGGGAGAGAGGATGAGAGGATAAGGGAGTAAAAAAGGTAAGAGTGTAAAAGGGTAAGAGAGTGAGGTTCCCGTTCCAATACCATAAATATTTTTTGTGTTGAATATTCTAATTCTCACTAACCAATCTAGTACAATATACAAATTCTATAGCATTTACATACAGTCTATAAGAATCCTTACATTACCATACTGTGTTACATTTTAAACCCTAAAAGCTCCTCTTTGGGCCCCTTCTGCCAAGCTGTAGGGTCTGCTCTGACCCTTGGGCCTGTCTGCAAGCGGAGGGTGTTGTTCCATCAAAAGGGGATCACCTTCAGCCGGCCACACCATTGTTTTCCAGTTGTTCAGTAAAAGAGGTATCTCAAAGCTTGCTGTCATTTCAATCTCGCTTATAGTTTCTATATTCTCAAAACCTTTTGCCAGACAATCATATTTATAAGGCTTTCCTGTTTCATCTTCCCCAACAATCCCACACAGGAACACACCCCCCTCGCTCCAGGGAACTGCAGGAGGGGACCCAAGAGGGGACAGGGTGAGGTCCCAGAGGTGGGGCTGGCCCCTCACTCACCTCCCTGGTGTCGTTGTCCTGGATCAGAGCGTACAGAGGCACCACCCTGTTGATCTCCAGCAGGACTGGTGTGGGGCTGAGCTGCTCCTTGCCGGGCCGCCGGCACAGGTGGCAGGTGGAGGGACAGCGCCCTTTCTCCTCGCAGTGGATCTCCACACCTGAGATCAGGTGGTCATCTGACAGCATCTGGGCTGTCAGCAGGCCTGACAGGTACGTGATGAAGGGCATGGATTTCAGCTCCTTCTTGTTCCCAAGCTCAGTTGTTTCTGGGTTAGGGAAAGGAAGAAACCAGAGTTAAACAAAGCTGAGCTCAGGGCTCTTCCCAAAACCAAACTGTCCTCCAGTCATGATAAATGCAGCTGCTGAAGGTGTAGGCCAGGTGGGAGCAGGAAAAGAAAGAAAGGTGAAAGAGAGAAGGAGAAAAGCAGGACTTGCAGGTCACTCCTTGGAAGTGTGAGCTTTTCCACACAAGCACATCTAAACTGACAGAACTGATTGGTCTTCTCTTTTCTAACTCATGCTCTTCTTTTTTCTAACTTGCATATCCACTTTCTGTGCTCCAAAATGAGACAAAATTACCCCGGTGTATCTTCCCTGCCCAAGAGAAACATTCCCAAAGGGACCAGGCCAAGGAGCTGAATGCCCTTGATCCCCACCCTAACACCAGCTTCCTCCAGTCCTTGTGGTCCTCAGGTCACTCATGTGGGTGACACACTATCCAGGGCAGTGAAATGGATCCAAAGAGGCTGCTAAAGGATTACATGGAGGGATGAAGCCCCTTGGCAGTGGGGAAAAGCAGGTATGAGAACAAACTCACCGCGTGGAGAATGGAGGTATTACCAAAACCAAACTGCCAACACTGCTTTCAGGAAACATTCAGGCCTTTGAAACCCACTGGGAAACCTCATGGTGGTCTTAAGCACAAGGGAATAAACCTGGAGAACCTTTACTTTGTTCTGTGCTCCTCCAAACACTTGCTAAAGCCAAGGGAAGCATCACACTTGAGCAAAGGAGACACGGTTCCAATGCCTGCCCTGTACACTTCCATTTAAATTCTTTGTCTGTAGCTGGGTTGACCCAAGAAGGCCCAACTTTTGTAACCTGGTGACAGACCTACAGAAGAAAAACCTTTCTTCATCTTATGGCTGTTGCCTCTAGCAACAAATTCCCAGTGCTGAGAGGAGTGGAAGAGGAGCAAGGGTTGTCTCAGCACGCTCGGCTTGCAGGGACATGCAGCTGATCTGGCAAGGCACAAGCCATTTGGAAATACAAGTAAACAGCATTCATTCATGACTCCCTGAGCCCTCGGGGTAGGGACAGCCCTTCCCTGCTGTCTGGCTGTCAGGGAACACTTCTGTGCACAGGATCAAAGCTGTCACGGGGAGAACGAGCAAATTCCAACCAACCCGTGTTTTAGCGGAATAGAAGGGGAGCAGTTGCTAAGATAAATTAAAAGAAGGTTGTAGGGAGATGTTTTCAACATCTAGGGAGACAGTGGTGTACACAGACATGGGAAACAGGAGTTGGAGCTGCTTCTTGGAGAGAGTATTTTCCAAAAGATCAGCTCCAGGCAACTTCAAGTCTCATAAGGGAAAGCAATGAAGCCTTGAAAAACAGGGTGGCAGAGAAAGAAGGAATTTATAGGAGGATACCATGAGCCTCTTCTCATTTGTCACTAAGAGTAGCATCTTCTAACATCACCACTGAAGTATGTGTAGAAGAGAAAGGAGATAATTACACTTCTGGGCTGCAAAGCTTCTTCACCAGAGCTGAAGCAGCTTTAGAGACCCTTCATGGAGAAGGGAGTTTTGGAGCCATGCTTTACAGGAGGACATGAACACAGGGCTGAAAGTACAGTGGAATCAGTTATCTCAAGACTGGCAATGGAATATCACACATTCATTCTGAATTATTTGCCTTATAGCTAAGAATTATAGATCACTATAAATCCAACCAGTGGGAACAAAACCATTTCAGGAGCAGCAGTGTTCAGGTGGAGCTGCACAGGGGAAGGCCCAGAGTTCTGAAATTGAGGTAAGGTAAAAAACTGTGAGCAGAGCAGTTGCCCTTCCCCAGCAGCCGTGGGCTCAGTGACAGATTAACCAAAAGCTGGGTGATTCATGGCAGACCTGTGAGCAGAGCAGGCTTCATGGCTGAGGTGGAATTGGCTGTGTGCAGTTAATCCTCTTTAGAACAGATCCCACTGCACTGGGGAAAAGGATTCCTTTGCAGGCTGACAAAGATCCGTGGTGTTCCCTTGTATGAGGGCTCTGGTTACAACTCCAAAGGAGGAAAATGAAATAGGACCAGGGTTAGCAGATGGAAACTGGCTGCATTGTCAGATTGCCAGCTCTCATCCAGACAAACACTTAGATGGCATCAGCACTGGATGGCAGTTCCTGGTAGCTTTTGTGGGATGTGTTTGGGGTGCTTATACACAGCCCTAACAAAACAATCCCCCAATTTCTGCTACTGGGACCTATCTGGGAGCAGCAGCAGCAAACCCTGCTTGTGAGCCAGCTCCTCCAGAGCCAGAGAGAGGCACTGAGGAGGAGATGCTCCCCATCTGCTTGCTCAGCTGCCTCATCCCTAGAAAGCTGGAGGTGTCCTTGCTGGACACAGGACTTCCCTCTCATCCCACCCACATCCCCCACCCACCACTCAGGGCATCTCACAAAGGAGGTTTTCAGATCTGAGAGGTTATTTCCCCCCAAAACATAAACTTGCACCTGCCATTCCAATTATAGCCTGGACAGGTGGGATTGGGGTCCCCCAATTTCCCCCTGCCCTACATCTGACATGAGTTTTGGTTCTCACTCCAGCTCCCTGCATGCAAGGAGAGGGCTCAGCAGTGAACTGGAGAAGCCCCACAAGTTCTTGTAGGCTCAGCCTGGCTTTTATTACCTATATAGAACAGGATAACCTCCCAGGACTCCTGCAAAGCCTCTGCTTCACTCCTGGGGAAGGGCTTTGCAGGTGATCCCTGCCAGGACACTCGCAAGGTCCTTTCTGGGATGAGGAGGAGACTTAGCTGCAGCAGTGAGGATACAGGGATCCCTTATCAGCCCCTGAATGTGAGCATGCTGTCACTAACACTGCTGGCAACCCAGCTGAACCCTGGCAACATCTGTTGGGGAGCAGAGAGCCTGAGATGCAATTGGACACATCATGGCAACTTGTGGGAGTTTTAATTTGTTTGTCTGAAATATGGATTTAAAAGATAACCAAAATAAAAAAAAAAAAAACAAACAAAACACAAAAACCAACCAACCAAATAAACAAACAAATAAAATAACAACTTTGTGTCAGGCACCAGGCCTTGTGTAAGGAAGGGAGAATGAGCAGAACAGGGTGTGCAGAGGTACTGTCTGCCTGCTGGGGTGCCTGGCTCTGTTTCTGGGCTCCACCAGGGTTTTACAATCCCACAGCACGAGGTGTGTGCCTGCACAAAGGGGTCCCTGCTCAGGATGCAGCAGTTGCTGATGTGGGGAAATGCTTCTAGCATTACCAGCAGCACCTCCTGGTGCCTGGACACGAGGGAGCAGGGTAACACCACCACTACAAGAAGAACAACAGCATAATGCCTAATTTGTACTGGAGTGCTGTCCTGTCCTGAGAGCTCCCAGGAGAAGATGGGTTTCCTAGTCAGACTCAGCATTTCATACAACACCTCTTCCAAAAGATCCCCAAGTCATCCCAAAACTGGGAACCATTCCACTTGCCACAAGAATGCAGCTACATCAGGGCTAGGATGTGATATCTCCTGAAGAGCAGAAGTGCTTGGAACAAGGACAGGAGAAGGCTCTCCAGCTGGAGTTGTACAGGGAACAGTGGGAACAGACCCAGGTAGGGATTCTTACAGGCTCAGCAGGTTAACCCCACCAACACCAACAGGCTGCTTAGCTGGGCTTGATTTAGGACCTGAGATTTGCATTTTATACAAGAAAGAGGGAATTCTGGTCCACCTCCCCCATACAGCACCCTTCACTGGTTAGATCTAGTGTCACCACAGGTGGGACAGTGGGGACTTGTGGCCAGGACACTCCCACTGACACAGCCTGCCTGCTTATCTCCTGGTGGAATAATCCTTTTTGCTGTCAAATCCATCCAAAGGGAGTTAGAAAGGAAATCAATAGATGTGTTTGCCTGGGAATTTCTCCTGCACTGAGATCCTGTCAGTGCAGTGGCCACACCAGGTCTGTGAAGAGATTGGACAAATTTAATGCTGCCCATTGTTAGTGATGGCAAACACTGCTGGGGCTGTGAGAAAGGTATGGACACAGTGTCCAGGGGAGTGAGTCTGGCACATCCATCCATATGCAGGAAGGATGGGACAGGACAAGAGGGAATGGCTGGCAGAGAGTGAGGTTAGATGGGTTATCAGTAATAAATTCTTCTCAATGAGGGTGGGCAGCCCTGGCACAGGGTGCCCAGAGCAGCTGTGGCTGCCCCTGGATCCCTGGCAGTGCCCAAGGCCAGGCTGGACAGGGCTGGGAGCAGCCTGGGACAGTGGGAGGTGTCCCTGCCATGGCAGGGGTGGCACTGGATGGGCTTTAAGATCCCTCCGACCCCAAACCATTCTAGGGTGAGAGGAAAACACCACCCCAGCCAAACCACCAAACAAGCACCAACACCCCAGTCCCGGAGCTCAGTGTGGGCTGGGCAGAGGATTGCTCCCGAGGGAATCCCTGGTGGGAATGCCATTGCCGTGTGCTCCACCGGGGGTTGCAGGATGGGCACTGCGGGATGGGCGCTGCGGGATGAGCATTGCGGGATGGGCACTGCGGGATGCGGGGCTGGGGATGGACATTGCGGGGATGGGCACTGCCGGATGGGCACTGCGGGGCTGTCCGTCCGTCCCTGCCCGCGGCGGGGTCCCGGCCGTGCCCGAGCCGGTCCGTGGGGCCCTGCTGCCCTCTCGTGGCACCGCGGCGGGACGGCGCTGGGAGCCCGGCACGGGGAACACCGTCCCGGCTTCGGGAACACCGACCTAGTTTTGGGAATACCGTCCCAGCATGCTGAACATCATCCCGGCATGCGGCACACCATCCCTGTTTTGGGAACACCCTCCCAGTATAGGCACACTATGCCAGGATGGGGCACACCATCCCAGGATGTGGCACAGCATCTCAGCTTTGGGAACACCATCCCTGCTTTGGGAACACCATCCCAGGATGCAGCACACCATCCCTGCTTTGGGAACACCATCCTGGCATGGGCACATCACCCCGGCTTGCCAAACATCATCCTGGCATGTGACACACCATCGCAGGATGCAGCACACCATCCCAGGATATGGCACACCATCCCGGCATGCGAACCATCCCAGGATGCAGCACACCATCCTGCCATACACACCATCCCAACATACACACCAATCCACCATGCACAGCATCCTGGCTTTGGGCATACCATCCTGCCACACACACCATCCCCCACATCCTGCTGCCCTCACCCCACGGCCCCTCTGTGTCACCTTCAGGTTCTCACCCTTCAGTCCTCAGCCCAGCCTCGGGGAGGGCAGTGTGGCACACAGAATGTGTAACAGCCCCTGGGTGTCAGTGCTTGATAAAGTCCTGAGCCTGAGGCTCCATGACTCCTTTTCATCTCCTGCTTATAGAATGTGAAGGGGCTGGAGTGGACTTTAAAGATCACCCTGTTCCAACCCCGTGCCATGGGAAGGGATGTCTCCCACTAGACCAGGTTGCTCCAAGCCCCATCCAACCTTGCTTTGAGCACATCCAGGAATGGAGCAGCCACAAACTCCCTGGGAGACCTGTGCCAGTGCCTCACCACCCTCACAATAAAAAACTTCTCAATATCTAATCTAAATTTCCCTGTTTATATTTGTACCCATAACTCCTTCTCCCGTCACCACAGTTCCAGGTGAAGAGCACCTTTATGTCCACACTGCCTCTGCCCCTCTTCACACCCCTCTCCCTGATGATGCTGTGCTCCCAGCTGATTAACCAAACTCAATTAAACACAATCCTGACGTCCAACACCAAGATGTGAACAGTGACCTGCATCACTGTGCTTGTGACTGGTGGCACTTGTGACCCCTGGCCTGCCACAGGGATGATCTCAAAGGCATCCCCTTGGGACGGATAACCTAGAACAGAGACTGGACAGAGCTAAAGAATGAAGCAGAGATTTATTAAAAGGTCTCCATGGATCTACCTTGGGCAGCACAAGAGCCCAGCCAGGGCTGCACCCAAGATGAACCAAAATGGCCCCAAAATGCACGACCGGGCACGGGGTCTCTCCCTTTGATCAGTTCTGCTCCATTTGCACCTTGCAGTTCATTGTCCCATTCCAGCTTTAGCCCAGGCAGTCCCACCCTGCTTGTTTTTCTCTCTCCAGCCCTCGGTGTTTGTGCTCTTGGGGCTGAGATTTGGATCATTTGTCCTTGGTGCCCAGCTGGAGCAGGAATTGCTTTGTCTCCCTGCTCTGTGCACAGAGCTCACGAAGCCCAGAAGTGCACACTAAAGCAGCACAGAATGTGAAAAATAGAAAAGCTAAAACCCGAGGTATCACCAGCAAAGAGAATCTGGGGGCAAATCATCTCTGCTGCCTGCAGGCTGGACAGACAGGATCTCACCTCAGCTTCAGATGAGACATTTAGACACTTGCAAGCCCGAGGTATTTAGAAACAAAGAGCTCTTAGAAACCTCTGATAACCATCTGTAAAAGGGGATTTCGAAAGTATCCCCTGTAACACAGCTTTGGCAGAGGAACTTTGGCAGGGTGACCAGGGTCCCAGGCTGGACAACCTTCCCATCCTTTCTTCTCATGTAGGGTCCCCATAACTGGCACATGATGGATAACATCATCAGCAGGTCATTGTCACCTCTAATTAAATCCAGAGAGTCCTTTGTTTTCTCCCCAGGATGCATTGTAAGATTATTTCCTATTTCTACCATTGTTTTTTCCTCACCCTGCTCATTTTCAGGTGTGGGTGGCCTCACAAGAGCTGCCGGACCACCCTGCTTTCAATGTTTACATCCATTTTTCTTCCCCATAGATCAGGGACCGAAAGAGCATTTCCCTGGTGAGGCCAGGAACTGGGAGTGAACCCTGTGTCCTCTCTCTGGGCACAGCAATATCCCCAGGGAGCCACTGGGGCTTGAAACTGGGGAGTCGGTTTAAAAAAACCTCAGAAATCTCACTTATTTTCTTCTGCAACCCTGGCCAGGCTTTGCATCTGCTCCTCCTGCCTCTGAGTGCACCCTCTGCCCACACTGCTGATCCCTGCAGCTCCAGGGACCTAGATCCCTTCCAAATGAACTATTCTTTTCTAAACAAAGTGGAAAAAACCCACCAAGAGCAGCAGAAGGTGGCCAGACTTGCTGCATTATGCAAGTGCTTCCTCCAGCACAGGTCAGGGCAGCCGGAGCAGGTGAGCAGTGGAAAAACGCTGCAGGCAGAGAGGGCAATGGAGGGATTTTGGGAAATGGTTAAACTGAGGGCTTGCCTCTTCCCCAGGCACTGAATTCCTGCCAGGCTGAGCCTCCAGAGCTCCAGCTGCACCTCAGCCCTGGGCTGAGCACAGGATGCTGCCTGTGGCACTGGGGTGTGAAGGACGTGGTTCCTGTGGTTTCTCCTGATCCCAAAGGAAGCCCCAAGCCTTGTACTCCTCAGTTTGCTCTGCAGCCCCACAGGGCCACAGCACAGAGGTCTCTGCTATCCCTAAAGCAGGTTCATGACATCCAAGCAAAGATGGGGCTGGAATGGGGTCGGTGCTACTGATGGTGATTCTGGCTTCATGAAACACAGGACACAGCCTGAGGGTGACACTGGCCTCAGGAAACACAGGACAGAGCCTGATGGTGATTCTGGCTTCAGGGAACACAGGCACAGCCTGATGGGGACACTGGCCTCAGGAAACAGGGCACAGCCTGATGGTGATTCTGGCTTTATGAAACACAGGGCACAGCCTGAGGGTGACACTGGCTTCAGGAAATATGGGGCAGAGCCCAGCCATAGGCCAGTGGTCACATCCCTGCCTCTGGCTACCACTGCTCACAGCTGCAGCTGTACCCAAAAATGTCCTTTTTGTCCTGGAGCCTGCAGGGTGCTCCAAGGCATGGTGTGGAAGGAGAAATACATGTTTTTAGTAGGTGATGTAAAAGCCATCAAACACTCAGGAACCTGCTGGGGAAAGGGAAGGGGAGAGATAAAGGGAAAAGGGGAACGAAATGGGAAAGGAAAAGGGAAGGGAAATGAGAAGGGAATGCAAGGCAAGGCAAGGGAAAAGGGAAGGGAAGGGAAGGGAAGGGAAGGGAAGGGAAGGGAAGGGAAGGGAAGGGAAGGGAAGGGAAGGGAAGGGAAGGGTGAAAGAGAATGGGAAAGGGCTGATCCTGCAGCAGCGTTGCCTGATCAAGGAAAGGGCAATGAATAACCTGCGCGTGCCGAAATGATACATAACAAAAAAAACCCAAAAAACCAAACCAACCAACCAAACAAACAAAAGAACCCAAATCCGAAAAGACGTTCCTGCTTCCCCTTTGTTACTTTTAACCTTTCCTTTCACCACGAGCCGCAGCACAAGCTCGGCAGACCGAGCTCCATCCCGCGGCCCCTCCCCTCCGCCCCAGCCCCCCGTGCCGGTGTCGCGATGTCCCCGCGGTGTCCCCGCGGTGTCCCCATCCCCAATCCCACCCTCGACCCCGGACTCCATTTCCCGGCAGGCCCCGCGGGCGCGCTCACGTGACGCGCGGCGCGCGGCGCACGCCGGGAGCGGCGCGGCCCGGAGCGGCGGCAGGTGAGGAGCGCGCGCGGGGCCGCGGCGGCGGCGGCGCCCCCTGCAGGGCGGGGCGGGCACGGCGGGACCCCCGGGCGGGCGGCCTGAGGGGACGGGAGGGGATGGAAGGGAATGGGAAAGAATGGAATGGAGGGGATGGAATGGAAGGGGGCCACCGGGCCGCGCCCCGCCGCGCTGAGCCATAGGAGAGAGGGGCCGCCTCTCCCCGTCCCCCCCGGCAGCAGCGGCAGAGGGGGCTCGTACCGGGCCTCGCCCGCCCCGCTGCCATTGAATCCAGCACGGCCACGGGCACACGGAGCTGGGCGTGTGCTCTGTGCGGGCATACAGCAACACAGGGCACTCGCTCCATGGCCGCCCCATCCCTGCAGTGCCCAGGGCCGGGCTGGCCGGGCTGGTGGAACGCGTTCCCCATGACAAGGTTGCGATCAGGCCAGCATTAAGGTCCTTCCGACCAAATCCTTGGATTATTCAGTGAACCTTCCCCCCCAGCGCGTTCCCCATGCCCACGGCCAGGGTTCGATCAGGCCATCATTAATGTCCTTCCAACCCAAACCTTGGATTATTCACTGAAACCCCCCCAAACCTGCTGGTTTTGTTGTTGTGATAACTCCTGTCAGCGGCGCTTATTTTGCAGCATTACCCCATTATTTTCCCTCGTTAACGGCACGAGCTCTGAATTACAAGTGAAGCCGGTGCTCTCACCGCAAACGCTCACTAAAAACTACCGGGTGACAAGAGAAACCACGGCAGGAAATTTCTTCCGAATGTAAGGAAACCAAACTCGCATAATTCACGGTTTTATGGCTTGATCCTCAGATGAGGCTTTCTGTAATACCTTGCTCTGCGTCAGAGGAACTGCCCCGGGAGGGACCGACATGCAAGAACAACTCGCTGTTAAGGAAACTTCCATGGAGGCACAGCCGAGTGTGAGAGGGAGATAAAAGGAAAAAAATAATGCCCCATTACTGAGGGCATGCTGACATGCCGATAAAGGGGGTTATATATGAAAAGAATGTCATACAAATCAGCTCTCTAAAAGCCCAACCTGACTTAAAATCCCATCTGCCGTTGTTTCTTTAATGAAAATACTTGTTTTAAAGGGAGCTTTTAATGTAACTCTCAGTACTTGGTGCCTGTGCTGCTCCCTCATCCTTCCCTAAGCCAGTCTTTTGACGTATTTCCAAAGAAAGTAAGAATAATGAACCTGGTATCCTGTGTTTCATATTTTAAAACCATTTTAAATCATAGATTTTTCCTCCCTCAGAGGAAGGTTTCTGTTCTCCATGGCAGTGCCCAGGTTTCTGCTTCCCCAGGGCCAGGGCCGTGCTCCTCAACCTGCCACTGTTGAGCTGATCCCAGCATGGTGCCAGGAGATTCTGCCATGCCACTGAATCCCTTCCTGAAATACAGGCTTTAATGATTCTGAACTGCAGCTGACAAATTAAAATTAGGGGGCATTTTTTTTTCCTCTTCTCTATGAGCATAAAGAACTTTTCTTCCTTGCAGCTGTTTTTCTGCACAGGAGCACACAGCAAACTGAAATACACAGAATCCTTCCCAAAGAGAAAGGCAGCAGACCCAGCAGGGAAGTGAGAATGCTGTGTGCATGCAGCCATTTCTCAGAGAGAGCTGTGTTCACATCCCTCTGCCACTGTCTCTTCATTTCAAAGACTTCACTACTTCCTTCTCCTCCTCTTCCCTAGGAGAAAGGTTTTCTTCCCTATTTTTTAGGGGCTAAGCAGTACAATAACAAAGGATTTGAAACCCAGTCTAGTGAATAATAACTTAATGATGTGAGCCCTGTTCTGTTCCTTTTGAATGGATGGCTGCTTTGGCAGGAGAGCTGCTGGGATCTGCTCCCTGCTGGGAGGGATGTGAGGGTGGAGAAACCTGGATTGAAGCTGAACAGCAACCGGAGTGGTGTAAAACTGAACCAGGGGACAAGAACAAGGTCAGCGTTGTGAGATTGTGAAACGAGGAGAAATTAAATGCAGTTAAGCTGAGTTCAGGAGCTAATAGCGAACACTGGGAGTGTGTTTGGAGTTCAGATGTTTGGAGTTCAGATGTTTGGAGTTGTCTGTTAGCTCCATTATTGCTAATACCTGCCTGAGCTGTGTTTAATTGGCATGAAGCATGCTGCAGCATGGCAGAGGTTACTGAGATGCACTGGCATCAAACCTTCTCTGTGTGTTTTCAGCGTGCACAGTCACCCCCAGAGCGAGCAGAAGCTGACAGAGCATTGCTGCTACTTTCACTTCCTCTATGAAAGCAAATGTATGAAACCTTGAAAATGTGTTTTGGCTCTCTAGCAAAGCAGAGTGAAGCAGGCACATTCATTTTGTTGGTATCTGATGTCACATCTGAATGCAGGTCTCCAGAGGTGATCTATTAATGTCCTAAAGCATCGCACCATCTGGTTCCTTCTTTGATGTGCAACATTTTGAATGCCTGGTTTAATCTCCCTGGGTTTCAGTAAATTATGTAAACTCAGAGGCTTGGCAGCAGGAGATGGGCGCCATGAGGAGATGATTCAGTCATCAATATCTACTGGGCTTCCATATTGGTGCCATTACACTTCTTTCAGTGCTACTTTACAAATTTTGCAAGTGAATAATTCATCGCACTGGGAGCTGCAAGTTAGTTTTGAAATTTGCCCACCCTGAGATTAGCTATGACTAATCTATCCTTCCCAACATGGAAAAGCTAACTGGGTTCCTTTTTCTGCAGGGTTAGGTGATAAGTCAGAAATAAATTGCATTTATACATAACTGCTGGTGGTGACATAAATCACATTTCCCTTTTTTCTTCCTGGACAGAATCAGAGCACCTTGGAATAGATGTGAGCACGAGGCACCGTGCTGGATAAAGCTGCCTTGGAGCACCATGGCTGCCGCCCCTTATCTCAACTCGGACGCGCTGCGAGAGGTCCTGGAGTGCCCCATCTGCATGGAGTCCTTCACCGAGGAGCACCTGAGGCCCAAACTGCTGCACTGTGGCCACACCATCTGCAAGCAGTGCCTGGAGAAGCTCCTGGCAAACAGCATCAACGGGATCCGCTGCCCCTTCTGCAGCAAGATCACGCGGATCACCAGCTTGGCTCAGCTCACCGACAACCTCACCGTGCTGAAGATCATCGACACGGCCGGCCTGGGGGAAGTGGTGGGACTCCTCATGTGCAAGGTCTGCGGGAGGAGGCTGCCAAGACACTTTTGCAAGAGCTGTAGCTTGGTTTTGTGTGAGCCGTGCAAGGAGGCTTCCCACATGCCCCCAGGACACAGAGTCATGGCTATCAAAGAGGCTGCTGAGGAGCGTAGGAGGGAATTTGGAACGAGGCTTGCCAGGCTTCGGGAGCTCATGGGTGATCTGCAGAAAAGGAAAGCTGCTCTGGAGGATGTTTCAAGAGACCTGCAAGCCAGATACAAAGGGGTTCTGCAGGAGTACAGCAAAGAGGAGCGCAAGATCCAGGAAGAACTGGCCAGGTCACGCAAGTTCTTCACCACCTCTTTGACTGAAGTGGAGAAGATAAATAACCAGGTGATGGAAGAGCAGGCTTACCTGCTGAACTTAGCAGAAGTGCAGATAATGTCTCGCTGTGACTATTTCCTTGCCAAAATAAAGCAGGGGGATATAGCTCTCCTGGAGGAGACGGGGGATGAGGAAGAGCCAGAACTGACAAACAGTCTCCCAAGGGAGCTGACTCTCCAAGAGGTGGAACTCCTTAAGGTGAGCCATGTGGGACCACTGCAGATTGGGCAGGTGGTGAAGAAACCGCGCACCGTTAACGTGGAGGAATCCCTCATGGAAAATGCAGCGTCCTCCTTTGTACCATTTAGGGAGCCTGAGCTGGTGCAGGAGGAGCCCAGCTGCACCCCACATTCCTCGCCAGCCAAGCCGAGGATGCCTGAAGCAGCCACCAGCATCCAGCAGTGTTCCTTCATCAAGAAGATGGGCTCCAAGGGCAGCCTGCCAGGGATGTTCAACCTCCCCGTGAGCCTGCACGTCACCAGCCAAGGCGAGGTGCTCGTGGCCGACCGGGGCAATTTCCGAATCCAGGTTTTTACCCGCAAGGGCTTCCTGAAGGAGATCCGCCGGAGCCCCAGCGGCATCGACAGCTTCGTGCTGAGTTTCCTTGGAGCAGATTTACCCAACTTGACCCCTCTTTCTGTCACCATGAACTGCCACGGGCTGATCGGTGTGACAGACAGCTACGACAACTCTGTCAAGGTGTACACCATGGACGGCCACTGCGTGGCATGTCACCGCAGCCAGCTGAGCAAGCCCTGGGGCATCGCCGCGCTGCCCTCGGGCCAGTTCGTGGTCACTGACGTGGAAGGGGGCAAGCTCTGGTGCTTCACCGTGGACCGTGGCGTGGGAGTGGTGAAGTACAGCTGCCTGTGCAGCGCCGTGCGCCCCAAGTTTGTCACCTGCGACGCTGAAGGGACCATTTACTTCACTCAGGGGCTGGGGCTCAACCTGGAGAACCGGCAGTACGAGCACCACTTGGAAGGAGGCTTCTCCATCGGCTCTGTTGGCCCAGACGGGCAGCTGGGACGCCAGATCAGCCATTTCTTCTCTGAGAATGAGGATTTCAGGTGCATTGCTGGGATGTGTGTTGATTCCAGAGGAGACCTGATCGTTGCTGACAGCAGTCGTAAGGAAATCCTGCATTTTCCTAAAGGAGGCGGCTACAACATCCTGATCCGGGAGGGACTCACCTGCCCGGTGGGTATTGCTGTTACTCCCAAAGGGCAGCTGCTGGTGCTGGACTGTTGGGATCACTGCATTAAGATCTACAGTTACCACCTGAGAAGATATTCCACCCCTTAAAGGCTTGGTTGCAAGCAAAGCCTGTCTTGGCAGTGGAGATTTTTGCAGCCTCCTTGCAATCCAACGGGAACCAGTGTCAAGCCTTCAGGAAGATTGTGCCATAGCTGAAGGGGATTTGGCATAGAGGTCATCATGTTCTGTGTTTAGAAACAAAATAGCTTTTGTGGTGGTGGTGGTGGTCTGCTTTTTCTTCTTCTTTTTTATATAAAATCCCTACAAATAAGGACAAGCGCGATGGAAAGGATCCATCCTTTGCAGTCTTGGTTCTTGTGACTAGTCACTCCATAAACCTCTTCACCTCCTTATGTCACACATCTCCTACACTTCCAGCTTCAACCATTGTGTCTTTCTTTGTGCCATAAACACTGACTGACTGCTCTGAATCACCTTCCCTTAGAGAACTAGCAGAGGCAATCCTGTGGCACTTGCAAGGAACTGGGTAGCAGTTGTCTGGGCAACTCCTAGAGAGAGCAATTTGTGCTTGCAGCACTGCATAAAACGAAATGGCCACTTCAGCTGCACGGAGATGAAGCTTTGCTTCCACCCTGACGAGGCAGGGTTGTCTCTCCCATTTTTCTGGTGTTCAGGAGATTGCCCCGTCGTGCCATTTGTGAATTGTGTCTGTTCTGTGTGAAGTGAGTACTGTGCAATCGTGGGAGACCGAGCTGAGCCAGAAAATTGCCCTCTTTTTTCCTGAGTTGTAAGAAGACAGGGGTTTTATTGCTAATCAGAGTTCTGCTAGATAGAAGGGGGTAAAAAGGGAGGGGGCTGGAGAAAAAAAAAAAGAAAAAAGAGGGGAAATATAGGGTTGCTATTTACTGTTGTTTTATTATTAAATGTGTCCTGGAAACTCTCTTTGGAAGGTCTATCTGGTATCTAAAACTTCCTGGGGAAGGGGGGAAGAGCTGGGGGAATAAGACTGGGAGATTGTAGGAAATGAGATTAAATACAATGTATTGTATGTTCACCTGCACTTCAGTGCTCTGCATTCCAGACCACTGCATTTAGCAATAGCTTTCCACTCATCTGCACCTCCTCTGTGCAAGTTACTCACTTCTGAGATAAGGATGGGCAGGGGAGACTATTTCACTCCTGTTTTTTTAAGGTTTAGAAGCATATCCATTGGTGCACTGCCTTTTTTTTCCCTTGCACAGCAAAACACTACATTCCTCAGATTATTTTTTTTTTCTTTTTAGTAATTCTTTTTTTCCACAACACCAGCAGGCACCAGCATTTCTGCTCATCAAGGCTTTGGGCCAAATGAAGCACAAAACTGCAGCTGTGTGAACCAAGGCCCCCACAGAGCTGCTCTCCTGGCTGATAAATGTGTACCTCAGTGTGGTGCTGCTCGCCCAGAATAGTTTATTGAAGGAAAGATGCATTTAAATAGGGCACAGTGGTAGCATGTTAATCTGCCACAGATAATAGTTACACTGCAGTGCATTTATTTGTTGCCATCAACAGCGTAGTTGCAAATTTGGGGCCACGACAGACAATATAAAAGCTGATTTTATAGTGGCTGCCATGCTCCAGCAAATTGTTTGCTACTTGTCCTACAACATGTTTGCAACAGGTGATTTTTATTTTTTTTTTAAGCCCATATACTTTTCCTGCTGAAACAGCAAAGGGAAACAGGTTGGTGAGCTGCTGCTGCTCTAGCTGGATGTTTGGCAGTTAAAGGGATTGCAGGAAAAATGCTGGAAGAAGATTTTGGTGGGATTTGAGTGTTTTTTTCCCTCTCTTTGTTGTGCTCAGCCAGTGCTGAAGGAGTGAGCACACAAACACAGCTGTGTGATGGAGCTTTTATCAGGGCAGCTTCCAGTTTCTCCTGCTGTAATGTACTGGGAAAAGCTTGTGGAGAAGGGAAGTAAGACAGGAGGTGGTTGGTGATGCTGAGGCAGCCCAGGGCACCCAGCTCCCCTTCCCTCCTGAGCTGCTCCCTGTGCTTGCCAAGGCTACCAACTTCTACATTGCTATTCACATTCTCTGCTTCTCTTTTTTGGTGGGAGGGGACACTTGCCCAAGGCATGTGACAGCAATTTGAGGAGCCTTTCTCATCTTGAATATGTGCTCTGGGGAAGTGATGATGATTACTGGGCTGTGCTGCAGTTCATGACATTGTAACTGAAGGCATTTTTCCAATTTTATGGCAGTGGCAGCTCCTCTCCTTCTGCTTTCTTTTAAACATTTCTCCTGTTTCCAAGAACTTCTCCACACAGGAGACTACTGTGGACCTGAATAATTAAAGCAATATTATCTATGATAATATGTACCTCTGTAATTTTCTGTTCCCGTGGATTTTTTTTTTTGCAATAAACAGCACAACTATTAGCAATAACATTTCCTGGAGTGCTTGAAAAAAAAAATTAAAAAATTAAAAGGAAAAAATTGAAAGCTGGTGCAGTAAACTGAGCAGTTGGTTACTCCAGCCTGTTCCTGGTTACTGAGTTCAAACATAGTGTCTGTCATCTGTTTCTCACTCAGAGGATTAAGAAAAATAACAAAATAACACCACCCTGTGAGGCACTGGTGGGCCAGGACACTGCAGTCAGCGCCTGGGGCTCTGTCTTGCCTGCAGCTCTTCCAGTCTGAGATTTCAAGGAGAAAAGGGAAAAAGAAAATCTGCTGTCCTTCTCCCAGGGTCTGCACATCCCCTGAAAAAACTTGACTGAGATGATTTTACAGAGCTCTGCTTGCTGTGGTGCTCCCACACAGTGTCATGATCATCTGCCAAACGAGGTGAAATGGAGTAATTAAGGATTATGTTGAAATAGTTTGGCTCCTGCTCTGTATCTGGAGGAAGAGCTTGTCTGGTCATACGTATGTGTTTGGTTTTTAAAGATTGTGTAATAAAGGAAAAATTGATCCAATTAAAAGTGCATTGCAAACGGCTCATTTTCTTATTAAAACACTTCATCTTCTCCCCTCGGTGGCAGATTGGATTTTACAGCCAGCAGGGATTAGATTGGGAGCACAGTGGCTACGAGACCCTTTTATGTGTCAGGTTGCCAAGGAGAAATCTGATCCTGGCAGGCTCGTGGAACTTTCCCTGACACTTCCCTACCCACCTTTCTAAACAAATGCTGTGGTTTTGTACCTTAACTCACACTGCCTCAAGGGCAGTATCTCCTTTGTCACCTGATGGTTCACAAGTCTGGTTTGAGTTCACTGGCTCTGGGAGCTCAATTGTATTTGGGAGCCTGGTCTGCAGGAACCTTTAGTTTTCCTTTCCTAGATGCAATCAGGTGCATTAAGAAAGCTGAAAAGCCACTTTTTAGCTGTTAAAGGACATAATGGGTTTCCCTTATATGTGCTTGGTCAGAAGTGGAACACATAGAATTTCCTTGGTTTTGAGATCTGTCCCTATGTAAAACCATTCTATTACCTTTTTAACACTCTTAATTGCTTGGTTTATGTCATCATTTTAAACCCTCAGATTACAACATTTTGTTCAGAGGAGGTAAAAACAATTTAGCTGGTTGTAATGAAATTTAGTTTAGACTAAAACATGTGCTGTGAGTCATCTGCTACCTGTGTCCCTGGCTGATCCATGGTCTGGTGACACAGCCAGGTGATTGGACACATCAGGAGCCATGGGCTCACCTAGAAAACCTCAGACTTTGCATTGTGAGGGTATAAAATGCTTGGGTTTCCTCTGTCCCCCTCCTTGGAGGCACCAGCTCAGGCTGTTCTTGTGATGTTGCACCATGACTGAATTATTTTTAGATCAAAACTCTGCCATGGGAGCTGAGCTGGTGAGGAAACCTGCTGTGACTGAGTGTGGTGGGTTTGTAGCTGTGAAGGTGCCTCAACCCCAGCTCGGGTGGTGCCAGAGGGGCTCCTGGATGGTCAGCAAGGACGTTTCCTCAGCAGATACACCCACAGCACATGCAGGTTTTCCCGTCCTCTCCCTCTGCAGCCACCTGGCTGATCTGGATAAAAGATTTCATCATTTGGGCTCATCTCAGCTCTTTAAACAGGTATGAATTTCTGGTTTATCAAACATTATTCAACCCTTTTTATGGTGCTGTTAGATCTACCCTGCAGCTTTATCACAAGTTTTGATTTCTTAGGGCAGAACAGCTGAGCCATGGACATTGTTCTGGGCAAAACCAGGAGCCAGGGAATGAAGGGATGAGGAGCAGAGCCTGTTCCTCATCAAAGAGGGCAGAGCTACAAAAGTGAAAATAAAGCCAAATGCTTTGAGTTGTTCCTATTGTACAGCTTAAGTGATTTTTCTGGGTCATTACTCAATGTGAGGATTTAAAGTTATTTCATTTTGCACAACTAATTACTCAACTTGCCTGGCAATTCTGGATTACAATGAGAAGTGCACAAGGTCATTTAGCAGACTTACTCACAGCACATGTTTTAGGCTAAACTAAATTTCATGACAACCAGCTAGAGTGTTTTTACCTCCTCTGAACAAAATGTTGAAATCTGAGGGCTTGAAATAATGATATAAACCAAGCAATTAAGAGTGTTAAAAAGGTAATAGAGTGGTTGTACATAGGGACAGATCTGAAAACCAGGGAAATTCTGTGTGTTCTACTTCTGAGCAAGCACATATAAGGGAAACCCATTATGTCCTTTACTAGCTAAAAAGTGGCTTTTCAGCTTTCTTAATGCACCTGATTGCATCTAGGAAAGGAAAACTACAGGTTCCTGTGGACCAGTTCAATCTTAATTGTGTTAATGGCAGTATCAGACTTGAAGGGAGACAAATGGAGCCTTGAAAGGACAGGAGGGAGCCCCAGGCCTCACTCAGAGGAATATGGACTGCTGTTTTAGCAGAGCTCCAGGCTCTGGCCTTAATTTTGTGAAGGATATTTGTGAAGATCTCCTATCAAAACTGCTGAGTTCACAAGAAAACATGAAAGCTGTGACCTCTTACAGGTAAATGGAGTTCATAGAGGGTTGTCCAAGAGAAGAGAAGCAAGCACTGGGGAGGGCAGGGAGCAGAAAGGCTCAGGGAATGTGACAGGACCTACCAAACACAGCCCCTCCATGGAATATTCCCATAAATGATCAATTACTGAGAGGGAACATGAACATCTCCCATCTGCAGCAGCCACAGGCTGAGCTTGCTGAGCATTCACTGTAGCCAGGGAACCTCAGCCAAGGAAACTCTATCTAGAGATCATAGGAAATTCAAGAAAAACAAACATTTCCCTCACTGCAGACCTAAAGTAACCTCCCAGCTGGGCAGTGAAACCCTGTGGATCTCCCCACCCAGGCACACACATCCTGAGCCCGTCAGCATCCCTTCCTGCTTCCCAGCTGGGCTTCTCCAGTGGGAATAAGCAAACTGCAACAGCTCTTGCAGAAATCTCACCAGGGCTGTCAGATTTTGCTCTCAGAGCAGCTCTTCCTCTTCCCTAAGCAAGCTCTTCTTCTCCTCACCAGCCAGAATGAGGAACCACAGACCAACCAGCTTTCTGATGAACTTTTATCAGAGAATGAAGTGGTTCCCAGCAGGGGGATTTGCTGGATGGAGGGATCACTCTCTTGCCTGATGTGCAATTTCTGAGTCTCTGAGGTGGGGTGACTCCCAGCCTCCACCTCCAGGTTTATTATTATGGCAATATATGATGAGGAAAGGCCCAGTTTAGGTCAGCTGTCCTGGCTGTGTCATCTCCCAACACCTCATCCACCCCAACCTAGTGACTGTGGGGACAGAATGGAGAAAAAGAAGTGTGGATGCCATGGAGGCACTGCTGTGCAGCAGCCAGCACTCCAGGGTGTTCTCCACACTGGTTTCTCCAGAAATCTGCAGCACCACTGTGACCAAGCTGGTTCCCTCCATCCCACCAGAGTCAGCACATTCTTACACACAGCTGGAGCTGGCTGGGGACATCATGTTTGTCCCAGCTGCCAAATGAAGGTCCTCACACAACTGCTACCAACTTAATGAGGCACCATCAGTGTTAAATGCTGGCTCCACCAGGGAAGAAAAGCGATGCAGGCTCCCATGGCACAGATCAATGGCTGGGTCCATCTCAAGGTCTCTGCTTGGAGGCCACTCAATGTGTTACAGCATTGCTTGGCTGCACAGAGCCAGAGCAAGCAGCCCAAAAAATGGCCTTTTAATCACTCTGCATGAAGCAAAATTGGAGTTTGCTTTGGTGTGGTCACAGACTGAGGCTGTTCCTGTGAGGGAGCCTGGGGGACGCTCCCACTCCTGCCCTGAAGGAGCACAGTGCTGGCTGTGCCACAGCTGTGCCACTGTCCCTGTCTGGCTCTCCATTGCAGGATTCACTCCTGCAAACCCTTGGGAACAAGGGCAGGCTGCTCTGGCACCTCATTTCCCCCATATCCTCCTGCAGGAGGAAGGGAACACTTGTCAGTGCCCCAGCAGAGCAGGCTGCCCGCTCTGTGCTGTCCCAGAGATGTGTCCCTGTGCCTGCCCCTGGCAGGAGGGACAGCTCTGCACATACTGACCCTCCTCACAGGCTCTGGGCAGCTCCAGGCCAGCTCAGAGCCAGAGCCTGTGCTGGCACCAGCAGTGAGAGCTTCTCTTCAAAACCATGTTTTCAATTAGGGCCCTACGCACAGATTGTGCCTTTATTGTTGGAGGCCTCCTCCTGAGGCCTGGAGATTGATTTATGAAGTTGATTAAAATATTAAAATAATTCTGTGCAGTGCTGCAAACACCCTGTAATGTGCATTTTTCTCAGAGTTGGTGCCGTTCCAATTAGCTCGAGACTCTCCTCTCTCCCTCCTCTTGTGACCAGTTTTGTCCACTAACAAATTCCAGTTATTCTGGCCCTACTTTTATATTTATTAGAGCTGATGCATATGTGTGCTCACTGAGCAGCTCAGAACGGGCTGCTGAGCAGCGGGGAGCCCGGCAGGCCAGAGCTGTTCTGAGTGGAGAAGGCATCCAGAACTGTCTAGCTGGAGCTATTTATTCCTATCTGCCTTATGTCGCTGGCAAAATGAGGGTAAATCAGTAGAGAAGCTGGGAATAAAATCCATCTACCATGAATAGCAAGTTCTTTCTCTTGGCTAACTGGGATTTCCCTGGGACAGAGCCCTGGGTTTCCCATGACACTTTCTCTGTCCACAGGCTGATCTCTCCAAGAGTCCTGAACATCCTCAATGTCCTTCCAAGAGCATTTTCTGGCCATAAAGAGCTGAATACAACACTGGGTCACCTCTTCACTGCCCAGAGCCCCAAAGTTCAACCTCACCAACCCCACCAGCTACCAAAGCCACAGATGGAGCCATGAACAAAACACAAGGTCAGGGACAGCACCTGGTGCCCAAATGCTGAATAATCAGGAGTGAAAGGTTTATGTTCAGGCATTACATGCAACGCCTCAGGGGATCCCTGGAGTACCATGAGTGCTTTGGTGCCTCACAGGCACTGGGAAAGGATGCTCTGGATGCCCCACAAATGCCAGGGCAGCCAGGCACAGATCCAGGAGTGGGGACAGGACCCAGGTGGGGAGCCAGGGATCCACCTCAGCCAGCTGCATACCAGGACTAAAATGGGAATTATTCTGTCACTGAAGTCCTGTGCCACCCCAGGGCTTTGTGGCTGAGCCCTGAGCCACTGCTGCCTCTGACATGGCGGAGATGGGACTGAAGGAATGGGAGATATTTCACCACCACATCAAGCACTGTTCATGTCCCCCCTCATCCCAGCATCATGGAACAGCAGCAATGCTTGTGCCAGGCCTGGACCGCAGCAGCTGCCCCTCATTCCCACCTCTCATTCTCCTGAGAAACCCTTGTCTGGGTTTGGTTTGGTCCCAGCTGATGGCACTAGGACCATGGGATCTGCTCCCCACCAACACATTTTGCCCCTGGATTGCAGGGAATGCTCCCAAGTGATTAATAACACCATGAGTACATAAACAGCCCACCTCCACGTGCCTTCTCCTGCTAAACAGGGGCATTGCTATGGCAAACTTCATTTATCACTATTTAAAACCCAAACAAACGAGCACAGGCTGTTATAAATACGCTTACAAGACCAGCTACACTGGGGAAACAGAGAAGAAAATGAGCCAAGAGCAAGGGAGGTGGTGTGTGGGAGAACACCTCTCCTCTCTGCTGGGTACCAGGGGGTGAGGCTGCTCCTGGCAGTGCCACCAGAGCAGGATGCAAGTGCCCTGATGACCTCTGTCACCATCAGCCCTAAGGTGGGCTCTGTGATACACCACAGATATTTTTTGAATAGAAAAATATCAGATCCAAGGCATATCCCCAAATCCCTGGGGAGAGAGATGAATTGGCAAATGGAAGGATACAGCGATAAGGGAGTTTTTATAAACATAACCTAATTGTATTACTTCAAAGTCCTGAAGTTTATTGCCCTGTTTAATGATGTGTCTCGTTATTTATGGTGTAGCACAATGAGTCTGCTATTGATTTAATGCACTTCCTTAAAGACTGTCATTGTCACAAGCAATAAAACAAAGCCATTCTGAGACAGCTCATTTATGTCACATCTCCATCAGCTGACCCTGGCATGGGAGGGCCACCGTGGGGAAGGGGTCACCTTGGGCAAGGATGGAGCCAGAGGGTGGAAGCTGAAGGGCAGGAGCAGGCAGGGTGGCTCAGAGATGACATGTGCCGGCTGACACTGAGCACTCAGTTTGGGACAAACCTCCTGCCTCCATGGTGATGGTGTATGCATGGAAAAGGGGGTGATGGATGAAAACCAGCACGTGACACCTGATGTTCGTGCCCCTGCCCACTGCCATCCCCCTCCTCACCTTTCTGGTACTGGAGCCAGAGCTGCTGCTGGACCTTCTTGCTGGGGAAGTGGATGGTGCAGCTGAACTCGGAGCCATAGAGTGCCTCGGCGATGTAGTGGGAGCCAAACTGCTGGATGAAGGAGAGCAGCTCCTCCCGGCTGCTGTCCTTGTTCAGGATCTTCAGGATGTTTGCAAAGCCTGTGGGAGGGAGGCAGGGGGTGGGCAGGTCAGCCAGGCAGGGCTGGCAGCAATAACCCAGGGGAAAGGAGCCCCAGAGGTCATACAAGGCCCCACAGTGGGAATCCACAAAATCAGAGGGTTTTGGGAAAGCTGCAAAAGGCAGGCCTCAGAGACAGCAGAACTGTGAGAAGAGCTATGCAGCAGCCATGAGATAGGTCAGCAGAAAAAATATTTAAACTGTAGAAAAGCAAGGGCAAATAGAACAATGATCTGTATATTAATGCTTGTCTAGAATAACTCTCTAAACTACAGAAAGTTCATCTAGAAAGATGTTAGGAAGTTTGAAGCTTAATAATGGAGCTCTGTGTGTTGTGTTTAAGGCTTACAAGCAGGTATTGTATTCAAAATAAGCAAGCATTGTTTTAACCAAAGGTACGTGTGCTTACAGTGGTTGGATAGAACTACTGTCAATGTGCTTTTGCTTTGTGGGATTGGTCAAGAAGCTTATAAAGTGAGTTGTAACATTAAGTTTTTTGGTCTGCTGCCTGGGATGTGAGCTGCTGGCATCTTCCCATTGTCATAATCATGTAATGAGACTGATGCTGGAAAATAAACCAGCTCAAGGCAGTTCCACAGCAGCTCTGTCCTGTTTGTGGTCTGTTAATAGCCCCCCTTGCTGGCAATACCCCACATGGGTGCAGTCCCTCCTTTTTTGCCTGCACCTGATCCTTTGGAACCTACAAGCTGTTATTACCCCAGGCTGTGGCTCTGACTTCTTTCTATGATTCCTCTCCCTAAGAAATTTCTCAGATAATTTCACAGGGATGTGCATGTGAACATGTGCATGCACACACAAACACACACAAAACCCCCATCCTTGCCAGCTCCTCTGCTCTTCAGCCTGCTGGCACATCATGAACACTCTCCCCAGAGGATGTGCTTGGCCTTTCTTTGGCTGTATCCACCATAAGAGATGTTCCATCCTTAATGCAAACACCCAGCACAACTGGGAACTATTTTTAGGGAATTTGGAGTCAGCCCAGAGGGACACACAGGGCTGGGCTGGTGGCAGCTCCGTGGATGTGCAAAGGTCAAGGCATCACTTGAGCAACATCCATGGGGACAGCAGGGACCTCTGGCACTCTGGCACGGGACAAGGACACGATGGACCCCTGCTGCCCTGTGGAGGTGAAATTTCCTGGAGACAATGGTGACTCCACAGCACTTCAGCATCACTTAGAGCAGGCTGAAAGCACCGTTTTGGTTCAGTGCTGGAATGGAAAACATACTGCGAGAAAATACGTCATAGCTGTCACCAAAATGAGATTATCTGGCTGGTTGGTCGGTTGGTTTATTGAAAGAGAAGGTTGTTCTAATAAAAAAGCCAGAAGAATTCATTTTGAGCTGAACCCACATATTTTTTTCAGCTCTGAGCAGGTTATTTCATTTTGGGGCTGTGCAGCCTGTTAGCACTAAATCTTTTTTTTCCTTTCTCTCACCATTTAAAAACTCGTTGATTTTTAAATAAAAAATGCTATTTTGAAACGAAAAGGCAAAACATTTCAGGTCGCAACAAAATGTTTCAGCATTCCTGAAACAAAATGTGTAGCTGTAAAAACGTGGCAGTGAAATGTTTTGACATTTGCAGGATCCTCCCACCCACCCCTTCTTCATCTGTGACTCCCTGCTTTATATGACCTGCTTTTCCAAGTGCTTCAGTTCCTTTTGAAACCACCCTTTTTTAAGGGATTGGCTGTTTTTTGTACATATAGATATAAACAGACACCCCAAAACAAATCCTTCCTGCTTACTGGCTTGACCTCACCTCTTGCTGCACAAACTCACTGCCTCAGTTTCCCTCCTGTAAAAAAGGAGGTGAACCTCCCAGCACTGGGAACAGAGCATGGAGCTGGGAAATGTCAGTGGGATGCCTGGGGCAGAAAACCACCACCCAGCCATGCAGACACACATGTCCCTGCCCCCGGAATGCCTCACCTGCAGAGAGTGTGATGGAGCTCAGCTTCACCCTGTAGAGGTTGCTCCTGACCCGCCAGTGCTGCACCATGGGGTACCCCATGGCCTCGTCGTACTTGATGTCCCCTGCAAAGGCAAAGCAGGAGGGTGACACTGCAGAGCACGCTCTGGGGAGTGCTGAATGCCCCCTCCCACCTTGCTGTGTGCTGCAGGGGTGAGAAATGGGGTGGTGAAGGCCTGGAGAGCTCACTGGTGATGCCCTGGGGTACCTGGAGCAGCACTGGGATGGCTGTGACTGCTCACAGGGATGGGGATGCTGCTGGGATGGACTCACACATCCCCCAGATTATTTCTGGCCCTGGCACAAAGTGGGGGATGATGCCCTTCAGGAGCCACACTGGGGTCCAGGCTGGGAGAAGGGGTCGCCCTCCTGTGCTCCTGTTGTCCCTCCTGTGCTCTGTGCCCCGTTTGCAGCTCGTACCTGTGAGGAGCTGCAGATCAGGGAGGGGCTCTGACAGGACACCACGGCACTGCTCCTCCACGGGCAGGGGGATCACCAGGAGCCCATCAGCCAGCTGGGGGAAGTCCTTGATGAAGTTATTCTCCCTGCAGAGAGAAAAAGACAACTGCAAAGCAACGATGCAGAGCACGGCAGGGCAGCAAGGCCGAGCAGCCCTGGTGGCACCAGGACAGCGGCTCAGGAGGACAGGGGACATCCCCTGGAGCAGGAGATGGGGTGTGCAGCCTCCCCAGCAGCCAGCCTGGCTGTGCAGCCCTCTGAGATGATGCTTAATGAGCTCCCCAGGGACTGCAGCTCCATTAGTGCTCCAGAAACACAGAACTGCTCTCAGCCTGGGGACCCGGCCACTGGGTTTGGCCCAGATTCTCAAAGTGGGCCCTGGAGAGGAGGCAAAGAAAGAGGAATGGCTGCTACACCCCAAAACTGCCCCTTTGCACACCTGCAGCACCTTCATGTGGACAGTGACCAAGCTCTGCTGGGGCTCCCCAAGCACCATCATCACCTCTACGTGTTTCACCCCCCACCAGTGACTCACTCTCCAAAAGGCAGAAAAAGGATATTTTACATACAGACACAAAAACTCCCACTCTGGTGTACAGCTCACAGCACAATTTCACCACACATGCAGGATCTTTTCTAACCTTGGCAGGTAAAACATTGTATAATAGGCCCCTAATGAATTGTTTCTAGAACAAGGGTAGCAGGGAAATGATTTGAAATGGTGAACAGACAGGTCTCTGGGAGACCAGCCTCCCCTGGAAAGGGAAATGCCTCGCGCCTGCGCCGAGGAAACAGGAGGGGGGATTTTAAATATTGATCTTAGAGCCAAAATATAGGCCAGGAGGCTTTGCATCCTCCAGGTGTGGAGACAAAAGGGCAGCAGAGCAGAAGAAAGGGAGGTTCCTGCAAAATCAGGTCAGCCCCAGGAGCTTGGGGGAAGTTCAGACTGGCACAGCCTGCCCCAGCTGCATTTTTTGTAATATATTTTCCTTTAAACAGCTGCTGATTTCACTCACCTACCCTGGTTTTACCCGCTGTAGCCCATCCCTGGGGGGATGATCCATCATCCTGTGGTCATCTCACAACTGGGGACACCCTGGCCCCCTCCATGGGTCCCAGCACAGGGAGATGCTGATTTCAGGGAACACCTTCACTGTTTTGGGGCCAAGATGTGGCCACTGCAACCTGCACCAGAGGTGAGCAGGAAGCCACAGCCCAGTGCAACCAGGCTGGGGATGTTCCCAGCCTCAAGGCAGGACAAGAGCATCTGAAGGTAGGGACATGAGTGGGGCACAGGAACTGTTCAAGGCCACACTGGATGGGGCTTTAGGCAATATGCTCAAAGGTGAGGTGTCCCTGCCTGTCGCAGACATCTTATATGGAAAATCCTTTCCTTAGGATTTTTCTTCCTGAGAAGCTGGGAGGCCTCAGGGACAAAATGTAAACATTGATTATCTGCTGCTGTGGAATGCGACAGGTGCATCTGTGATTGATCCATGCTGGATGTTTCTAATTAATGGCCAATCACAGTCAGCTGGATTGGACAGAGAGCCAAGCCACAAACCTTTGTTATCATTCTTTCCTATTCTATTCTTAGCTAGCCTTCTGATGAAATCCTTTCTTCTATTCTTTTAGTATAGTTTTAATGTAATATATACCATAAAATAATAAATCAGCCTTCTGAAACATGGAGTCAGATCCTCATCTCTTCCCTCATCCTCAGACCCCTGCGAACACCATCACACCTGCCCATGGCAGGATGGTTGAAACAAGATGATCTTAAAGGTCCCTTCCAATACAAACCATTCCATGATTCCCTGGCAGCCTGTCTCATGCTACGCCCCCATTTCAGAGCCACCAGCAGCTGATTGCATCTCAGGAGCATCACTTTCTGCACTGCCTCAGTGCAAAAAAGGAAAAAAGTGATTTATTTTTTCTGAGGGGAAAAGTCTCTCACTCCCAGCATGCTCACAAATCTCCAATTGATCCCGCTGGGCATGGAATCCCCATGGTGGAATGTTCTGCTGCTCTGAGCCCTTTGCTGTCACAGCAATTCCAAATGGGGAGCTGCAATTACTGCTGGAGCTGTGTGGGTGGTGGGAAACTGGGCTGCAAAATAAAGCAAGTTGGTAGGGAACAGGGGGAGAAGCATGTTGGTGTCTCTGCTGGTCTGCCTCAGCAGAAAAGGGAAAACATCAGTGCTGCCAAATCCCAAAGCCATGGAGAAAAGTGATGGAAAAGCAAGATGCAGGGGGATCCACTCTGTAGGGGTGCAGGGCCAGGTGTGGGGGGTCACAGGGTTATTGCAGGGGGACCAGGCAGCATGCAGACAAACCTGCCAGCCCCACAACATCCTCCTGTGGCTCTTGTTCTGCCCCTGGCATCTCCCCAGTGCAACAGCTGCCCAGGACTCACTGGAGCAGTGAGCACACAGCTCTCTCCAGTGTATGCACACAGAATCCACTCCCCAGCACTCTCCTGGTGGGGATCTGAGCATCTCCCAAGGCATTTTGCAGATACTGAG